ACAGGCAGAGAGGAGCAGTGCCACCTGGCATCTGAGTGGGAGTGTAGCACTGTGCAGGGAGCTGTCCGGGCTTTTAATCCACAAGAGCCTCTTTCCCCCCACATACCTGTGCTGCTGCTGCAGAGTCAAGGGCTGGATTAACTTTTTAGTGGGCCCTAGGCAAACAAACTCATAGACCCCAGACTGGTTCCCCTCCCCAGTCCAGTGTTGCCGCCTATGGGGAGTGGGGCTCGGAGCCGCCACTAAGAAGCAGCTGCTGTGGTGGCAAGGCCAGTGGAGGGGAGGGGAAGTGAAGGGAGGCAGATGTGGCTAACTTTGCTGCTGGTGCGGAGGGAAGGGATGCCACCCCCTCCCCCCTCGCCCCATGCAGCTTAGGGCCCTAGGCATGTGCCTAGTTTGCCTGTGTGTTAATCTAGCTCTGGCTGAGTCCTGTTGCCTGCCTGTAACACTGCTCACCTTATAGGTAGGCAATGCTATGTGGCCCTGAGCAGTACTATGGAGAGGGGTGTAGTTGGGATGGAGCTATGGGGCTAGGAGGGTAGAGAGGCATTTGGTGGGTGTCTGTGCCAGGATCAGGGGAGTGGGGCTGGTGGGGGTAAAGCTGGAGTGGAGACAGCATGATGTGTGGTCAGGAGTATAAGGTTTGGGGTGAGTAGGGGATCCCTGGGGTTGGGGCAGCACATTAAAAGCATTGCTGTGGTAAAGCAAGGTTGCAAACCTGAGAAAAAAAGGTTAATGACAGTCTGCACACTTTTTACTGACAACCAAACTTTTTTACTACGGTTGGTTTTAAACTCCAAAATGTGAACCTGACCTTTGTTGCTGCCATCCAAATCCTGGCAGAAGGGTTGCATTTACATTATGTAAAATGTATGTCAGTAAAAAAGTTTGGTTATCAGTAAAAAAAAAAAAAAAAAAAAAAAAGTTTGCAGATTGTCAGTAAAATAATTGGGGGGGGGGTTGGCAACCCTGTTGAGGCTGGATTGGTGCTAACAAATCCTTTTTGTGTGCATTCAATCCAGTTTTTATTTCCATATATTAGGCAAAACTAAGGTGATCGTTTCTAAATTACAGTTGTATTAGGGGGAGGGAGCTTCTTGAATTGGAAACTTGGCAAACCAGATCTTGATGTACTATAATTATGACTCTGTTGATTTCCATGGAGCTATGCCAGTATCCATCAGCTGAATCTCTGGTCCAGACATCACAGCATCATTATGCAGGACAGAAGGAGCCACACCTCAGTTTGAACAAATTGTAGGTGGTTACCTGACATAATGATTGAACAAAATAAGATTTCTTCTGCTGAAATTCTTTTATTGTCCTTTGAAAACAAGAATTCCTGACAGCTACTAAAAACATTTTAACTTGCCTTTGCAAAACTTGATTAAGGTTAGAAGAGGCCATATTTTGATTACAGTACCTGTGTAGGAGGTTCTGAATTTAGCCTGCAAAAAATATGTTTGAAAGTTTTTTGAACATGGACTGTAGAGAGCCTATAACCCATGTCTTGTTCCCTTAGGTAGCAGATTTAAAAGCAATAAGGAGAATATTTTTAACTTAACACAACTGGCCTGTGGTACTAAAATGCTATAAGACAACATGAAGGCCAAGAGTTTAGCAGGATCCAGAAACTCATTGGACATGGATATGAATAACCAGAATATTCCATCAGTATCATAAATAAATAAGGAGCATAACCACTTAAGTTTCAGCACTTAAATCTTAAACCAATATCTGACCTCTGGATTTAGGGGGAAAGTCTTCCTTAGGCAGTATACGCCTTAACTACTAATCATGGGGGGTTTTTCCATCTTATTGCGAAGTATATGGTAACAGAGATAGGATGCTAGACTAGGTACACTCTTTGCAACAAGGGATTTTGCAGTCAGATCACACTCAAAGTTGGAGCAGTCTAAATAAAGTGGATTGGTCAAGCATGGTCGGCGGTAAGATAAAACATGATCTAGATTGGGTATAAGAATCTAGCCATGATAAACTTGTCATTGGTAAAGCATGTATTGTTTTGGGTTGAAGTTCCTCTGGATTTATACCACTGTAAGTGAAAGCAGTGTTTGTCAGCAGTGTTTAATGTTTTTTTAGAAAGCAACACTCATAAAACACTTTCCTGATTGCCCCTCTCTCCCAATTTTTATCATCCGCTCCCACTTAAAGCCTTTTGCAGTTCTTGATCAGCCCACAAAGGGAAGCTAGTAATGTCTTCTCCTTTCATCAGACAACTGTGAAATCACACTACTTCCTGAAACTTTTTCAAGTACATTTTTGCAAGTACAACTGAAGGACAGTGTTAAAAAATAAAATCTATTTTTTTTTTCTGAGCTTATTTCATTTGTGGATTCTCACTGGTTTCCTGTGACATCAGATAGTTTTTATCCTCTAATGTTTATGTGTGTTTCACATAGCAACAGGAAAGAGAACAACATTTGAATTCTAGAAAAACTGTGGTTGTAAAACAGAAAAACAGGCAGTGGGTTAAAGGAGAGGTGTAGTACTTGACATTTATTTTAACTTATTTGGAAAATGGACTAGATCTTTAGCTAGCAATGGCTCTTTTAATTTGCCTGAAGCCCACTTGTCTTTTGTAGACCCACATGGTACATTGGGAGCAAGAAGAGGGCACCAGACAATGTAGGGCCCCTGCAAGATGCAAACAGTAATCTTGTGGCTATGCCTGATAAGAAAGCTGATATTTTTAACAGTTTCTTTGCCTCTGTTTTCTTGAACAAGGACCGGGACATCCCACCTACCAGAGGCAGGGACAGTCTCGGGGATAGGTCTGTCAGGCCTTCAGTCAGGGATCTTCTGGAAGGGCTAGACATTTTTAAATCTGAAGGTCCAGATGCCCTCTACCCAAGGGTGTTGAGGGAGCTGTTGGAGTGATTGCGGAGGGAGGGACACACTTGAAGGGAGAGAGAGGCTGCAAATTGATTTAGACAGACTACAAAAGTGGGCAGATGAGAATAGGATGGGGTTCAACATAGATAAATGCAGGGTGCTGCACCTTGGGAGAAGGAATCCACAGCATACATACAGGCTGGGGAGTTCCTTTCTTGAAAGCACAGACGGAAAGGGATCTTGGAGCCATTATTGA